TGAATTTGGCTTGACTCGCAAATCATCGAGTCAAAAAAACATAAACTCGACTTGATTTAAACTCGACTCAGCTTATCAGACTCGTGAGTTAACTCGACTCGTCTGGAACTCTACATCTGAGTGCAGTTCATTTGAAGGAATAAAAGTCAAATGCTATAAATCAGCCAAGTATGATGCTGATCTTATATACATAAAAACATTAACCAGAAGCTGATCCTGTGCAATTGGATGAGCTTGAACACAATGTTTATCAAGCTATAATCGATCTACAAGGGATAAACATTTAGCTGTTAATTCTGAAAAAATCGAAATATAATCGTGTAAAGCGGTCACTTGATACTTATAATAGTATATGTGTAGTTACTGCAGATGATAAGCCAACTGTTTAGTGAAATTTTTTTTTGAAGTTGATGTATAGAAATAATCAGAAAACTTTTCTCCTGAAGATCTTTGATCAAAGGAAGGATTACCATATTTATCTCAGAGGCTTTCATGTTTTGCAACGATCATAGCCTGGCAAAAATCGAACAATACAAACTAATTAGTATTATACATATCTTTTCATTATTGATCCTGATTTATTCGTGATCTTCATTCCGTGATGCATATTTTCGAGATGCTTATTTCTGAGATGTTCATTTCTGAGATAAATTTTCTTGACAAATTTTAACCGGAATGCCCTGCTAAAATCATATGATTTTTTTTTATTTTTGAATATTAATATACTAATACTACATTATGCAAGCATGTAATTTGAAATAGGTGGTCCTGGTGAGACTAATTCATATTAGCTCACATTAAAAAAAAGATTCAAAGAAGTTTCACTTGCATCAGTACTTATACGATAGTCGATTAGAATTTGAGATAATAAATGTCTGGCCTATATTTTTTATTTATATTTTTTTCTCTTGGGTTCATACTCCACGAATCCCAAATTTTTTTCTAATAATCCATATAACTGCAAGAAGAAATAAGGTAAGTATAGCATATGACATTAAGGAACTTTTAAAAGCAGGGATAGCTAGTGTGATTCTAGAGGAACCCGCTAGAGGTATTACTTGAAGTGATGGCACCACTTCTATGCCACCTAATTGCTTTGCAACCCCTTCCCTTAAAATAAAGTTTTTGAAATTTGCTAGTTGACTATGAATGGATTGATTGGGTAGGATATCTGTCTGACTTCTCGAAACTATCTCATCTTGGGGTAATAGCTCTTGCAAAGCCTTTAATATATTTTCTCTAGAAAAACTTTTATCGAGTTCCATAACTTTATCTTCAAGATCACACTTATGGACGAGGGGTCTTAAATCGTCATTAAGCCAAGCTGGTAGCTTTGCATCGAATCATTCATAGGCAGGAGACCTAAAGAACTTGCAAGGTTTCGCTTTTGTGATATAACAGTTAAGGATTGTATTCTTTCAAATTCAATGTTTGTTAAATGATGATAATGTTCATGCTTAGCAATATCAAATGATATATTTGTTAAATCATCATATGATGCTTTACAAGTACAGTATCCAAATGTTGTGTTATGTCTAAGAGTTCCTGCAAGATCATTTTCTTGCAGAAGATCTGCAGTAGTAATTCCAAGTCCTCCTGAAACCCAGAATTCAACATTATCAATTGTTATTAAAAATCCATATTCAAACTGTTGAATATTTTGAATAAAAGGTTTTATAGTTTCTTTAAACTTTCCACCAAAAGGGACAAATCCAACCAGAAAGTGATTTTTTAATTTCTGACGATCCTTAAGTTTCATATTACCAAATTGAAGTTAAAGTCCTTCAAGGCTATAATATACACTTCTGAATATTCTGAAATTATCATAATACAGATCACAAAAGATTTTAATTCGTTTGTGATGAGAATCAACTCTTGGTAATATACTTAAAGTTGGATGATGATGTTTTAAAGATATATCTCTTAACACTGGTTGTTCATTATGATAATATAAAATTTCTTTAATCATAAATTCATATGATGGAAGTTCATTTGTATCACATAATTATACAGAAACTTTGTTGACTATTTGAAAAAGGTTGATTATTTCTTGATTTTCTGTTAACCAAAGTTGTTTAGAATCTTGTTGTGATCTTGCATAAATTCACGGTAAATCTGTATGTAAAAGAGTAAAGCATAATTTAATTTGAAATTCATTATTGTTATTTTTAACAATAGCAAAAATTTGTCCAATTCGTGATTCAACAGATTGGAAATCAGTATTGTATCCAATATATTTAATAAACTCGCCAGAATAATAATTAACTTAAAAATAATTATTGTTAACAAAATCATTAAACAAATGCATATTATTTTTCTTAAATTACCATTGTTATGATGATAGCATTCTGCTCTAAAGAGAGGTGATTGCTGCCACAATTCTTCATACCAGAATTCCGATTTAGTATCAGTTTCAATTCCTTCACTAAAATAAAGACAATTTCTTATCTTTAGATTACTTAATATCCGTTTAATATGATCTGTAACTGAAAAGAAATATGTTTCCTTTGATTTTTTAGACGTGGATGGGATATCTTTAGATGATAATTTAACGTTATGGCTTTTAATTGTCATTAATGGTAATCTATCACAAAAACGTTTGATTGATCGCATACTTTTAACTATATCTTCAACACAAAACTTCTCATGCAACAAAATAGTAACAAGATCTTGGTATGCTACAGAGCTGATCATATGTTTCATTACCTAAATAAATAATGCCATTGCTGTAAAAGTTGGAAAATATGGCCCATAATCTCCTTGATAATGTGATAAATGAGGCGAATCATCATATGTTTTAAAAGTTGGCAATGCTTCATCTTGATTTGTACTAGAATTGTCATCATCATCATGATTGATCTCCACCTCATCTTGTTCATAATCGATCTCCACTTCCACTTCATTTTATTCATTCACTTCATCACGAATTATTCTAGAGTCATCTTTATCATGATCAATCTCTACCTCATTTTGATCATGAATTATTCTAGAATCATCAAGATTATTATTTACTTCTTTTTGGTTTATTATGAAATCATTAAAATTGAAATGATTAAAATCAGTTTGAAATACAAAAGGACTGCCAAATATATTGTTAGAAATTGAATCTGAAGTATTTGTAGAAGGTTGTATTGTAGATAAAGGATGACATTTTTTTGTTCTTTTTTTATATCTAGGAACATCTGTGAAAGTATTTTGACGAAAACGAACTCATGACATGATAGATTACAAATTAAAAAATTTGAAGTTTAAAGAATAAAATTTGATCAAACGTAGATCATAAGTTTATATAGGATCTAGTAGTTTATTACATCATTATGCAAGATTATATAACTGATAAATTAAAATTAAATCACTTGGCGTTAGTTTAGTTTTTTTACTATAAAAGGTCAAAATTTCTAAATATTTCAACATCTGTTAATATTAATTATGGGTAATAAAATAATAAAAAATGAGCCAAAACAGGAAGAAAAAAACAATTCAATAATGATGCAGGTAATAACTAATTTTAGTTGTTTATTAATAAAATTGGTTTTTATTAATAATATAAAATTCATTTATAAAATAGCTGAGTTGATTAGTTTTCCACAGATTATAATGGATGATTCCAATTTTACACAATTAACAGAAAAATCTCTTGAATCTACATCAACCGGATCTGAAAAAAGACCCAGAGAAGAAGTTAGCGATCAAGAAGATATAATAAATCAAACAGAAACAAATGCAGAGCAATATGGGAAATCATCATCTCCTTTAATCAGCTAATCACCAACTATAACTCCTTTAATCAACAAATCATCTTCAACATCAATGCCTTTAACCAGATCATTAACTTCTTTAACTGGTAAATTATCAACTTCTTCAACATCAACTTCTTTAACCGGTAAATCACTAACTTCTTCAACACCAACTTCTTTAACCAGTAAATCACCAACTTCTTCAACAACAACTTCTTTAATTACATCAACTCTTTCATCATCAACTTCTTCAATATCAACTTCTTCAATTATTAAAAGAAAGAGTAAAAGTTCTACAACATCATTATTTGATAATTGGGATGATTGGGTTTTAGATAATCAAGATAATGTACAAGATAAAGCATCATGAGAATCTTCACCAAGTATTAGCATTTCACCACTTACTAAAACAGTTAGCAGATCTTCTAAAGAACATGAAATATTTGCAACAGTTACGAGTTTTCTATAATCAGAAATCTAAAAAAGATGGTATACACTGCGGTCCATCATGAAGTTGAAAAAAGAGTACAAGAATTTTTTAATCATCGTCTAGATTTCATTTCACAACATATTTTGTTATCATTATCTTATTTATTATTTGCACAACATCTATTTGCACAATATCAAAGCCATCTGTAATTAAGTGAAAATATCGGGTATACATTAAAAAATAATTAATATTTCATTATCTATATGTATAATGAAACTAATATTTTTATTTCTATTTTAGAATCAAAACCAGGTGGTAAATACTCTAATGGAATATACTAAACCATTATTTATAAGAATGCGAAATCTTTCTGATGAAGCTATTGAATCTATAATTAATGCTATGTGGCCGAACACTCCAACATTTGAAGATGAAGCTGATATAAATGTAGTAAAGAGAAAAGCCAAAAAGTTTTTTTAAACTTATCGATGTTACTTAAAAATGAATTATCAGAACATGCTGATATTGTTATTGAACAGTACACGAAAAAAAAGTAAGTATCGAAAAATTCATATATTTTATTAC